TATATAGCCCAAATTTGTGTCTTATCAATATATTATTGTTGGGAGGGAGGACCTGTTAAATTTAATAAAATTCAGGTAGTCCTCTATAGAATGAGCAGATGGATGGACATGGAGAGCAATAAAGGGTGTTTGCTGATAGACATGGCAGCCATCTGACAGATTAAAAAATATATCTTATAGCTACGGCTGAAACATAGATTTTAGTTGGGTTAAGTTTTTTGTGGTTCTATTTAATGTTTTTCCTTTTCAGTTAAGCTACAAACAAATTTACATAGGCATAATTACTCAGAACCTGAACCTGAAAATAAACCTGTGCAGACTGGAACAGCAGTGTTCATCAAGGAGCTGAAATCTCGCCATTTTCCAAGGTTTGTATCATCTAATCTGTCTCTGAATTGTGAAGTATAAGGTACTGAGAACACAGTCAGTTATGCATGTTGATAATTTTTCCACCAGTGCTTTGTTGTTAATTGAATGAGACAGACCATTATCGTATTCACTGATCCTTAGAAAGGAAGAAATACATGGGATATAGCATCAGCACAGATGTAGTTAAACCCATTCATTCTGCAGTAAAAGAAAAACTTTTAATTTTATTTTTCTGTCTTAAAGAATTTGGCTTCTGCAGTGGCTGCGTGGTCTGAGGCATGGGCCTTGTGCCACTTGGTCGCTGGGACCATGGGTTCGAATCCCACTCAAGCCATGGATGTTTGTCCACGTTTTTGTGTGTTGTGCTGTCCTGTGTACAGGTAGAGGCCTTGCGACGGGCCGATTCCTCGTCCAAGGAGTCCTACCGAATGTCTACAGATCAAGCCAACGAAAAGTTGGGACCCGCAGTGCTCAGGCACTTGAAGAGCGGGTTGTTCCCAGTATGGATTGTGGCAAAGTTGTTTACAGAGAGAAAATTCTAATATACATCTGTAGTACTGATTAGCCAACAGCGAGACTGATGCTTCACAAGCTTTGAGTTCAGTAGGCAGTATTCACCACATAGAGAATCGACTAAAATGTGTCAGATTCTTAAAATTATTGATAATACCAACATACTGACCTTGGCAGGATATTACCTAATTATGTGATTGTGAGACTTTTTTTTGATGGCAATTTTATGAAGAAACGTTCACCTTACTTTCATATAAGTATAGTAACACCCATCAATGAAAACATATTTAGATAGTTTGACCACAGAATAAATGTAAATATATTATATAGTGTTGTGGGACAATAAAAACTGCTGTCTTATGTTCATGAAACATTCTTAATTAAGGTGTCTGTACATGTAATTGTCCTTAGCTGAAGTAGCGCTATAAAAATTAACAGTGAGTTAAATAATGTTACAGGATCGGTCAATAGCTGTATGGGATATGACATCACAGACGGAGATCACATTGCGCCGAGTACTAGTTGGACATCGAGCAGCAGTGAATGTGGTAGACTTTGATGAGAAGTACATTGTTTCTGCATCTGGTGACCGGACCATCAAAGTGTGGAATACTTCAACTTGTGAATTTGTGAGGACGCTGAATGGACACAAACGAGGGATTGCGTGCCTTCAGTATAGAGATCGACTAGTTGTTAGTGGCAGCTCAGACAACACTATCAGGTCACTTACAGTATTTTAAAGTCTTAATATAAGAAACAACATAAGTTTGTCCTTTGTCATACTGGATTTAGAATATTAAAAAAACACACACACTCTGTCCTCCGAGTCTACCCGGTGCCTGTTCACGCAGCCGACCTGTCCTTACTCAGCGCCGGCCCGTAGCACCCCACTGGACACACGCTGGCTCCTCGGCCGCCACGGTCCACGTACCTGGTGCTCACTCTTGGAGGAGTATAGAATGAGCGTCCAACTTGCAAAAACCCATGCAAAGATGGTGCATTGCGGAGCACAACATCCACAGCCTGAATAGCTTTCTGTGGGATTTCCAGTGTACTTTCACTGCTCATATATGTAGAGAGGAATCCCAAATTAACTTGAGATGTGTATTTGATAGTAATCTCACATTGTTTAACCCTAACAGATTCTTGATCATACACCATGAAACTATCAGTTTTCTGTGGCAGCTCTCGAGTACTGTACAAGTTTTTCCTCCCATCAAAAGCTGGATATCAATCAGGAAAGTTTCTCCGCCTGAATTCTTCCATTGCACGTCTCAAAAGTCTTTTTGGAAATGGTGAAGGTTTAAATTCCACATCTTAATGAATTGCAATTTTGTTTCGAAGCGTTGACAAGTGCAATGATAAATAGTTGGTTTCTACTACAGTTTTTCTTTCTTTAGTCCCACAACCTGTCCTATTTGGGATTTTTAATGTCTGAATTCCTTTAGTTATATCTGCAACATCAGCATATCCAGTCTGTTGCTTTACAGTGCCTTTCTTCTTCACCACATCAGAACCAGAATATAGTCAACTCTCTACTAGAACAACAGTATCTGGTCTCTGTACACACACACACACACAAACACACAAACACACACACACACACACACACACACACACTCTGTCCTCCGAGTCTATCTGGTCCCTCGAGTTCGGCGCTCTTCACACTCTTCGCTTACACATCGGCCCGTCTATAAATGAATACAACAATGCCAAACCCAATAAAGTTAATAAACAGACAACAATGTCAGTAGACAGACAACTAAACTGTTTATTGACATTGTTATGCTGCTCTCACAGCAACACGTCACAATATATTTGGGTCACTGAAGCAGACACTCGAGAGGCTCCAATTCTAGTCTGACTGTCGCATTTCACAATTACAGTGGTTGCTGGTAACATATAATGAACACTCATTGCAACTTTGATCCAGTAGTGTGCCTATCTGTTTCGTGCAGTATGCTTGTCCTGTATCTCTAAAAGATTTGTATTTGTAGACTTTACAGCCCTATTAGAAAGAAACATCTCGGATAATTATCTTTTTGAGTAATAAAAAGTCCGGATATATTAGGATACATTGCGAGGGAAAGAAGATATATTTAAGACTTTTCTTTGTGATGTGCAGTTGTTATTTTTCTAACAAGTCTGCACCACTTTTTTGGAATTGTACTTTGCATGGAAGCCAGTAATAAGTTTTATGTAAAGAATTTGTTGTTTTGGATTTATAATATGGAATTCTAGAAAGAAGAAAGTAGATTAAAGAATGTCCTTTCTCAGTGGATTATGCCTAAACCTCCTTGTCTATGTGGGGCCACTTGTCTATATTATAGAAAATTCTGTTAATCAGCTGTGAATTTCTCGTGTTTTCTTCTTTTCTGCGTGATACTTGAAGGATCACCAGAAGGCTGTCATCTTTCTTGCTATTACTGGTTGCATATAATCTTATGGTTATGGTAACACAAAATTATTTTAATTGTTTTAAAACCTATAGTTCTGAATGGGCAGAGGCCAGGAATATCATCGTAGACTGTACTTGGTGGCATTAGATACATATGTTGATTTCATGCAAATAATGTTTATATTTCTTTTGAGCTTAAAAGTTCTCTATGCCCCC